AGTGCTGGAAGAGTTCACCAAGCGCCAGCGGTTCTTATTTGTGGATGGATACATCCTCTCCGACAGCTCGCAGGTTCCCAGTTCCGTGGACGTCTCCGAGGCTCCAGGCTCCCAGGCTCCCAGGAGGTGTGCAACCCAGTTAGTTTACGAGGAGATCCAGACACCAGAGCCGCAACTACCCTGCAAGTTTGTCGTCGTCATCGCGGTTGTGTTCCAGTAGGCTTCGCTGGTATGCCCGCCGTGGCAAACCTAGGATCTTCTATGGCAACAGAGTCCACTACCTGTGCACGAAGGCCGGCATTTCTGATGTAAGGCAGATCATGGGAACTATGGCGCACGTGGTCGAGGCGATGCTGGAGCGTTTGCGAGTAGATCTGACGGAGGATGAGATCGCCGTGGCTCTGCAGGTATTCAACCTTCGGCTGTGGCAGGAGACGAACCGACAACAGGAGCTAGTGGACTCTACACGCAAGCTCTGTGATATGCTCAAGCTTTCGCCCGGTACAGCCGTGCTGTTTGGACGATTTGCTCGCAAATTGCATCCTCTTCTAGAAGCAGCTAAGTCAAAGGACCCAGGCTTCGGGAACAAACATGCGTGGTCTTGGTTGCTTCGGCCAGCGTTGCGTGCACGGCATGCACACAAACTTCCATGGACAGAGGATTGTCATGCCCTCATTGCTTTCTTCTTGTCCTTGAAGATCAACACGACCACGCTGGAAAGGGATTTGGGACACTTGCTCACACAGCTGGAGGCGCATTCCGGACCCCTCACCCCAAATGGCTCAACCATTGCCTCCATCCTCGAGGTGGCAGTTGAAGGTCCCCAGCGAGAGGAAGAATTTTTCCGGAAGCCGGAGAGCGAAGGTGCCGTGCTGACCCCAACTGACTTCGGGGTTCTTTGTGGTGAACTGTGGATTCGTCACTTTGGGCGTCGGTTCCGCATGACCTACAACAAAGAACGAAAGCAGGTGCCCAGCAAGCCACGCCAGGCACGTTCTGGAACTCTGGCTGCAATTGTCAGAGGCCGTGAAGCAGCCGCCGCCGAGGCAGCGAAGAGAGCAGAGGCAGCTGCTTCGAAAGGCAGGTCGTGGAAGCCGGCCTCTTTCGTGCCGGGCTTGAGCCTGCCTTTGCCGGCAGCGTCTGCCTCTGCCCAGAACAGCGTTGCTGGCACACGTTGGGCTTTCGCCCGCCCCACACCAGATGCCCTCAAGCATTTGGAGAATTTCCGTGCACGCACACAGCAGAAATATGACGGTGACTCAGCAGCACAACGGTTGCTTTCCGTGCTAAGTCATCTGAAGTGTCATACACATTGTCATTGTCATCCAGCCAAGGTCACCAAGAGGAAGCGCGGAGACGATCCTCTGGCAAGATTGCTTACACAACAACGGCGGCACGGCTTGGCGGTTTGCGCATGGTGCAGCACGGCCACGAGAAGGATCGGTCATCCGTCTTGCAAAGCATCCTCCGCAAACGAGCTCTGAAGCTATGTCCGGTCTATCGTCGCTACACGGACAGCAAGTCGCTGCAAGGCAACAAGCATTTCCAGATCCTTGGACCGTACGAGTATGAATCCGCCGATATCCTGGTCCTCGAACAACTGTCCGATGTGGAGACGGTCCGCAGCGACCTACTGGTCCCAAGCTTTTAATTAAAATGTTTAAAAGTCGGATGATGCCAGGCTTAGATCGTCACTGCTGGTACACGTTGACGTGTTTCATCCCAGGTTCCTGCCTTGATCATTGCGTACGGCTGTGGCAAAGTGCTTGCCTCCAGGGAGGCGATTCTGGCATACTTGGACAATCCGACAATTGATGCTGAGAAGTCGTTCTTGTCCTTCAACACAGCTGCAACTTCGAGGCTGTTCGGCCTTGAGATCGCCAAGAGCTGTCAACTGTTGCTCGGTGGCACAGACACTGAGGTTCAAGGGTTTCGGGTTGAAGGGTTTATTGTCTAGGGTTGGGTTTGGGTTCATTTAAGTTCAATCAGTCAGGACCCGTGCCATCGTCGAGGCCCTGCGATTCTGTGAGAAGTTGCCCCAGTCGAAGTGGCGTGTTGCTATCGGCACACCACTGCCCACTCAATTTGCTACCAAGAGGCGCACCACCTACAAGATCAATGGAGAGGCCGATATCTGGAATTTCCTCCGCCGTCCGCGGGTTGTCCCAGAAGCGGACATTGTCCGGTGCTGGTGTACAGATGAGGCATTTGCCCCCCAAGAAACCCAAGAAAGTTCGTGCGTCATAGTCCTGTACTGCAGCAGTTAATGACAGTGCTCTCTGGCTCCTTGGCTCCTTGGCTCCCAGGTTCGCAGGCAGGAATTTTCCTGGGGTCGAATCATTTTAAGTCTAGTCGTTCGCACAGGAAGGTACAGGGGGCCTGTGTCGCAAGGCAGGGTTAACCTTGTCTGGGGCAGCAGGTGCCTGCAACAGAGCCTGTTGCAAGCCCCTGCTCAATACACTGCAGATTGGTGCCAATCCGGGGCGTATTGGCAGGACAAAACGGCCTTGCAATTCAATTCCCCTGCAGTTGTTTAATTGCAGGACAATGGTAGGATGCAATACACCATGGATTGGTGCCAATCCCTGGTGTATTGACGTTCCATTTGTCCCTTGCAATATCCTTCCTCTTTCATTTCAATACAGGCAGGATTCGCGCCAATCGCCGCGGCGCTACATCCAAGGGTGTTTTGGATGCATCCAAGGGTCCCGGCAGCTCTTGTTCCATGCATCCAAGGGTGTTTTGAGTGCATCCAAGGGTCACGTTAGCAGTGCCTTAATGATGAAAGAAGCACCTGTCACCCTTCAATGCACACGAATGACCCTTCAACGCACGCAAATGACCCTTCAATGCACATGTCACTTGTCACTGCATTGTCTGAGGCTGTTGTCGTCGACAAGCTGGACGTCGAGGGGCAGGCCCAAAGTCGTTTCATTTCAGTCATGGTTGGCTGTGTGGCTGAGTTGTCAGAACATGAAAGTTGCATGCGACAGTGTGTTGTGTCAGTCTTGCCATGTCACTATCAGCATCTGATACGAGGCTTCTGCGGCAACAGGCTCCAAGGCTCCCTGGCTCACATAGGCTACTAGGTCCCAATGCCGCCTGCGAAAATGGCCGCAGCCGATCCTAAAGCAGCCGCCGCAGATGTGGCACCCACCATCATCAACATCGCCGAGCCGGAGGAGAACCCAGTGATAGAGACTCAGAGATCTTGGTCGCGTCTCGGCTACTGTGCGCTGAGGGCAAGTGACTACGAGAAGAGTGTGGAGGCGGCTTCCGAGTTTGAGAAGGATTCCTATTACGAGTCACCGGAGATCGGCTTCCGTGCCTTGTTTCTGGCGACGAAACTGGACGCCATCACATGGCAGCGCAAGGAAGCCATGCGCAAGTTGGGGGCGGCCCCGTCTGCTGCAGAGAAGCCTGTGAAGGCGAAGCTGCGCTCATCGCGCCGCCAGCTGACAGAAGCCATTGGGGAGACCCAGTTCGTTGTTCTCACACTGTTCACCAAGAAAAATCTGGCCGAAGCGTGCTCTGCAAGAGACATTGTGGTGGAGGATGGCGGCTACTATGTTCCGCTGTTCTCGGATCCTTGCCATGAGCTGCCTTTCCACGACGAGGCGAACTGGAGCCTTGAATTCGAGTACATCGGACGCCAGGAAGTCTTTTCATTTATTGTTATTTAATTTTATATTAATTATAGGCGCAGGGGTTCAGAGGTTCAGGGGTTCAAGGGTTCAGGGGTTTAGGGGTTTAGGGGTCCAGGGTATTGCGTCCGATCAAGGCACGTCATGGTGCAGGCCACGACCAGCCTCGCCTGGCAGACCCTTGCACCCGGGCCCGACCTTGGCGGGGGTTTGGGCTTCATGTGCTACACGGCGGTCAAGTCGGAGGAAGGCGGCGGCGGCGGCGGCTTCGACATTAGCAAGGAGGACACATCTGCCCTCGTGAACTTCTTGGCCCGGAACCACGTGTTCGCTGCGCAGGGGGATCCGTTCCTTCCGGATCCCGGTGCATCCCTGTTCCCGGTTTCTTCGTCCACGCACGCAGCGGCCACGTTGGGTTTTTTTGCCCTCAAGCAGCTCGACATGGACATGCTCGAGTTCAGCTGCGAGGGCGTCATCAACCAGTCACCGCCGGTTCTCCATCCGATGGGGTACTTCTGGATGCTCAAGGGCAATGACCTGGCAGAGCGGATCCGCACCGGCAACTTGAAGGTACGCAGGTCCGGGATCGAGATGGTCATCGTGAGCATGAGCAACCCCAGGAAGCACTCAGACATTCTCCTTGAGGCTCAGCGCTCCAAGCTGGTGGAGCACAAACGGCGCTTGAAGGAACAGGTGGACGTCTCCAACAAGCAGCTCCGCCGCGACCAGGATGCCCTCGCTGCCGTTGATGCCCAGCTGAGGCGTCTCCCAGGCTCCTAGGCTCCCAGGCTCCAAGGTCCATGTGGCGCCGGCTTGGTGTCGTCATGTTTAGATGACTCATCAGCAGCATAGTAGGATTTTGATGCTTCCTTACTTTGCTGCCAACTTGATTTAAATGGACATGTAAAGCTCAAGCCGCTCGTCGACAAACTGTGGCAGGGCCCACGACTACAAAGGACCGCTGTCGACGTCAGTTTGTGTTTGTTTGCAGCATGTCCTGCACTGCAGCAGTCTTATTGCCTTGCGCTGCACCGCAAGACTCCAAACGGTTCCGTGGAAGGCTACTCGGCTCCCAGGTTCCCAGGCTTCTGTACTCGCGCTCAATGGCAAAAGTGCCGGATTTGCCCACCGACCCAACCGTTCTGAGCTCAGCATTTTCGGAGCAGTATGACGTGTGTGATGATGATGTGTGGCACGCCATGTGAAGCAGGCCAGTGCTCAAGAAGCCCTGGCAAACATCGTGCCATGGGCCCTTCGCTGAGTTCTTGATACCGTGTCCCGTCTCGCGGCTAACAGTGCTGCATGCCGTGCCTGCCCGAGGTCCGCATCCAGCTCCCTCTGAAGTTTCCGCAGGCCAAGCAGATGTTCAAGACACCGCCGCTTGCCATCAACGCAGAAGCCAAGATGGGGGATTTGACCGGATACACGGCGGGCGCATGTCGATCAATGTCATTTATTATTGTTTGACCGTTGTCGTTTGTCAGGCTGTGTGGAGCAAAGATGACTGCCAAGCGTCCCTGACATCATCTGGACTTTACGAAGCCAGTGGCCTCGCGCTGTGGCTGGCCACCGAAGCTTTTGCCAGTGCGTCTGAGGATGTGTGCTGGCAGGATCTCCAAACTTTCGAAGACGCTTTCTTCTCCAAGAAAGTTGCTTTCAGCACAGTTGTATCGCGTGAAGCTGCCAAGAAGAAACAAAAAACGTCACGAAACCGGCTGACGTGGCCTTGTGAGATGATTGTCCTCACGGAGTCAGCATCTGACGTGATTCACGAAGAGTTCAACAGCTCGTTGCATCTTGCTAGCGGCGTGTTTGTGTTGTGGGCTTGGTACTTGGCCGTCTTCAAAGCCCTAGTCTCCCAGGACAGTTGCTGCTTGTGTTCACATGACATGACATGTTATTGATTCATCTGACTGATGTGTGCTTGCACTTGGCAGGACAAAGCAGTTTTGGAGATTTTGTGGGAGTGTGGCTGCACTGTCACGATACAGGTTCGCTTGTGTTCCAGCGCAGGGGAGATTGCGAAGAGTCGCAATCTTGCTTCAGAGAAAGTCAAGGCACTCGGGCACCCTGGCCTGTCCGACACCTTTTGGACATTTGCAAAGACTGTCCAGCTGCTCAAGGTCGAAAAAGTCCAGGATGGTGAGGAACAGAACTTGAGGTACAACAACACCTTGTACAACAAGGCCTTACACCAGGCTGCCACAGCAGCTGTTGCAGTGCTGCGGGGTCCATCCGGTCCCGTGGAGAAGGCTGCCCGGAGATTGGAGCTGGAATTTGGGCGGGGCATCTTGAGCAGTCAGTACTCGAAGTTGAGCAAGCTGTTATCGCTGACCAACAAGCTCGCATCTGCTACCAGAAACGCTGTAGACCTGACGGCCTGGATGATCGACTCCTTGACGCTGGCCCTGCGCATGAACATGGTCACGCCAGCTAAATGCACCGAGAAGTTTCTGGATCGAGACCGGAAGACAGGCGATGCTGGCTTTTGGTTGTCGCGCATGCTGGTGGTGCAGGCATTGTAACTATTCTGACTAGCGTGTGTATTTTTTTTTTTGCGGAGTGTTGCAAGTCATCGGCAGCTTGAACACTGACAGAGGTCTTCGATTATGCAGCAAAGCTGGCGAACAAGTTGCCTGAGCCGGACAAGGTTAAGCTGACAGGGATTTTGGCTGAACTCCGTTGCCCTTCCACATGTTGGGAGAAATATCTCTGCCATGCTGATGCTGATCAAGGGGCTGCTGGAGAGGACGACATGGACGGCGAGGACCCAGAGGACGTGGAGCGCCCTGTTCCGCAGTCCAAGATTGGAGCTGTTAAAGAGGGTTTCAACAAAGCCATTGGCATGCTTTTGGATTTGCTGCTGGAGCTGATGTCGGGGAAGTACTACAAGGATTGCTGCATGCTGGCTTCGAGTGAAGATGGCCTTGCAAAGGCATTGACAGCTGCACAGCTTGGAAGCTCGGATGACACGGAGCACGAGGAGCCATGTGCGCTTATCACTCAGATGAAGATCATTGTCGACAAGTTCGACAACAGCACGAAGTCCGTTGGTGCCACATCTGCGGCTCCTGCTCCGAGTTTGCTCCAAAGCCTGGCCAAGGCTTCTGAAGCTGACACACCCGAGGAATGTGTCGAGCGTGAGCGGCAGTGGAAGGCGGTGCAAACGGAACGCCGCAAGTTCGTGTCGTTCTCGGTACCGAACAAGATCTCGAAGGACTGCCTAGTCAATGCGTTCAGAGGTTGCGGCAAGGTCTTCACGCACAAGGGCACCTTAAACTCTTCGCACCGCCTGATCGTTGCCAGTGCGGATCTCTTGGCAGAGGCTGGTACCGACCCGTGGCTCAAGGGCACTCCGCCAAGCGAGGAATGGAAAGAGAGCTGTGCCTTTGCCAAAGACATTTCTGGGCCCGAGGATTTCGTTGTACTCTTCGACGGCAGAATGCGGGAAATTCGCCGCGTGTCCGAGTCTTGGCGGGGTGATGTGACAAGGCTCCCAGGCTCCAAGGCTCAAAGGCTGCACCTGGTTCTTTAAGGAAGACCTCCTGCTGAACCAGCAGCACACCGAGGAGTGCACCATCGTGTACTCAGGTGGGTGCCCGCCGAGAACTGGTCGCACTCGCCGCGTTCCGCTGGCTGCAAAGAAGGTGGAGACAGGAGCGGTTAAGTTCCCGGTCGCACGCACCAAGATTCAGACGACGAAGAAAGGCTCCTTCACAGTCTTCGGCGAGGCTTCTACGTACCAAGGCACTTACTCAGGCGTGGAGTACCGTGCGGTTTCTGAAATGCCCCTCGTGTCTGCAGACACCAAGAAGAAGATCATTGCTCCGGCAACAACCGGCGACCTCCCGACACCGCCAGAGGACTGGCAGGATCGCCACGGCTCCGACGTACCCTTGTTCTGGAACGAGTCGAAGCCGATAGCATATTGGAATGCCATCATTGAGGAGTTTTGCGCGGAGGCAGTGTTTGACCTCACGGCTGGCACCGGTGCTCTGATGGAGGCTTCTTTGACTGCCGGCATCGCATACCACGGGCTTTGCAGCACCCTTACTTGTCCAGTAGATTCGTCAGATCATTGTCATTTGATTTTATTTAAATTATCCGAGGCCTCAACAAGGAGCACATGTCGTGGGTCCAGGCGGTTGCTGATCGCGCAGCTTGCGGAATGATGGCTTTGGAGGGATCCACTCTTTACTCGGACGAGAATGCCAAGGCGGTGAAGAAGCATTTCCCGCACGTTCTGGAGAGCTTGTCCAACCAAGACGACCAGGACGAGGCACCTGCTGAGCCAGATAGCCCCCGCGATCAACCGCAGTGATGATGTTTCACTTCGACCGAATCCGCCAGCTCAGGCACCAGCTCAGGCACCTAGGCTCCCAGGTTCTCAGGCTCTTGACCTTTTGCCGGCTCAGTTTTGTCAGTAGTGTGTAGCAGTGACTACTGTCGCCTGAAAAAGCCGAAATGCTCTTATTGTGGCATGACATTGAAATAGGACTCGCCGAGGATGTTGTTGTAGTCGCCTGAATGCATTAAAGCGAGCCGTTATGGCCCCAGGTTCCCAGGCTCTGAGGTTCCCTGCTTGGGTTCGACATGGGCTGCCGATGGAGGCCTACCAGACGCCTCTGGGGCAAAACCAGTCTCAAGACGGCTTCTCGTCGGATGCCCCGGGGGTGCCAGCATGGTGGCAGCAAATCGCAGAGCTTGCGGAAGCAGGCTGTGAAAGACGGCTTGGTCCCCAAGGCTCGAAGGGCCTTCGTCATCTGGTTCCAGGAAAACTCCGAAGTCAAGAAAGGCGCTCCCAAGCACGAGTTTCTCAATGAGATGAAGCATCTTGGCGCAGTCTGGCAGGGCATGACCGACAAGCAGAAGGCACCATTCATGGCGAGGAGCAAAGATGAGTTCATGGCTCAGCGAAGTGCACTGGCCGTTCTTGGCATCAGGATGCGGGGCTCCACGACCAGTGCGGGCGGCCCCGACGAGGCGAAGGACCCCCCTGCCGCTGACGAATCTGGCGGTCGCGTTGGCCCATTTGAGCTTAATGGTGCAAGGGCTCCAATTGGAGGCGGAGCCTATGGCAGTGTCTACAGTTGCCAGCATCCGCAAAGCGGCCTTAACGTGGCGGTGAAGGTTTATCGTGGCTCCGATGGCCCCGCGGATTGCAGGCACGAAGTGGAGCAGATGAAGCTTCTAATGAAGGCCGTTCCGCAGCAGAAGATGATGTGGTTCCCGCTTCTTGTCAGCTCGGGTGTCACGGGCAGACCTTGGCCATGGATGGCTACTAGCCTATGTGGGCCCAGCCTGGCAACCGCACTTCGAAATCCTGCGGCGCATGGCAAGCCGAGGACGTGGTCTGTGGCAGCTCAGCTGAGAAGTGCACTGCAGACCTTGCATGACGCAGGCATCCTACACTTGGATGTGAAACCTGGCAATGTTCTTTGGTGCCCTTGCACAGATCAGGTGCAGGTGTGCGACTTCGGCATGAGTGAGAACATGGCACGGCTCCAGAAGGCTTCTCAGGCTCCCAGGTTCCTGCAGTATGTCACGGCTGCCTATCGACCTCCGGAGCTGTGGCCCGCTCGTGTGAATGGCGATGGAGACTGCGGTGTCAGAAAGCAGCTGCTGACTGCAGCTGTGGATATGTGGGCCTATGCTTGCGTGGTGTTTGAGGTGGAGACCGGGAATCCCTTCATGCCCAAGGGGGAGGCCGGACTGAGAGCGTGGTGCAAGCAGTGGCCCGAGCTGTGGAAAACACGCAGCGACTTAGCCAATTGCCCCGCTGCAAGTCACACGTGCTGCACAAAGGTGCTTCGAGCCGGTAAATGGGGGCTGTTTGTGTTGGTCGGCTGTGCTCCAGACCCCGGAAAGCGGCGGTGGCCGGAGCTCTGTCTGAATCAGAAATGACTCGACTGAGCCTCCATTTTTATTTGATGATGGCTCGTATGGTTTAACGTGTGTTTAGAGTCGGTTAAAGGGTTTCAGGGTTAGTAGGGTGTGACTTTCATAGCCTTCGTGTGTTCAGTTAGCAGCATATCCGAGCATGGGGGCAAGATTGCATGCAATGTGAGATGCAGTGAGTTTCCTCGTTGTAACCGATTCCGCACAGTGCCGTGCGTTGCATCTTGCCGAAGTGGTGAAGTGCGTCGTGACAAGCTGTTTGCAGGGCGTGTCGCGGCTACCAGGTTCCCAGGCTCCAAGGTCTGGCGCAAGACTGGCTGGGATCCCTAATTCAATTATTTTAATTCTCAGCGCGGGGGTTGTCCGAAAAAGCAGAGGCCAGTGTCGTGAGTCATGTGAACGCACCCAAATTCCACATGTAACCTGGTTCACATGTCGTTCTTTGCAGGCAGGGAGATGGGCAAGCGTGGTCCACGGCCGCAGCGCCAAGGAAGCTGTCAGGACCCGTGCTGCGTTGGACAGTCAAGTTTAATTAATTTGACAGCGGATCTTGGCTGTCGCCAGGATGATTCGATGCTGCGAGGGACCGCATCGACATCGACCCATCGTCGTCAAGGCCACAAGGTTTAGTTTCAAAGCACCCTGCCCTCATGTACGTTTGTGTTCTACTGCTTCTGGCCTTGAATCTGCCTCGCTGCAGACAGCTCGGTACGACCAGGCATGCTGAGTGAAGAACCTGACTAGAATGAGACCCTCTTTCAGCGAAAGAGAGTCAAGATGCAGGCTCCAAGGCTCCAAGGCTGTGAAATGAAAAGGGGGACCCTGCCTCTGGCTCCCGGCCAAGCCTAACTGTGGTCGAAATGTTTTTTCTTCAACGGGGGACCCTCCGTGGCCTCTGGCTCCGGGCCAAGCCTAACTGTGGTCAAAATGAAAGGGGGACCCTCCTTGGCCTCTGGCCCCGTGCCAAGCCTAACTGTGGTCAAAATGAAAGGGGGACCCTCCTTGGCCTCTGGCTCCGGGCCAAGCCTAACTGTGGTCAAAATGAAAGGGGCACCCTCCTTGGCCTCTGGCTCCGGGCCAAGCCTAACTGTGGTCAAAATGAAGGGGGCCAAGCAAGGCTCCAAGGCTCGCAAGGCAAGGCTCCAAGCTGGCTTTGGCTCCAAGGCTCCAGAAAGTGGGACCCTGCTTGCCTTTGGCTCTAAAGCAAGGCTCCCAGGCTGCAAGGCTCCAAGAAATGAAAAAGGGGACCCTCCTTGGCCTCTGGCTCCGGGCCAAGCCTAACTGTGGTCAACATGACGAAAGGGTGCCAAGCAAGGCTCCAAGGCTCGCAAGGCAAGGCTCCAAGCTGGCTTTGCGCCAAAAAGCTCCAAGGCTCCAGAAAGTGGGACCCTGCTTGCCTTTGGCTACCGGTCCAAATGTAAAGCAAGGCTCCCAGGCTCCAAGGCTCCAAGAAATGAAAAGGGGGACCCTCCTTGGCCTCTGGCTCCGGGCCAAGCCTAACTGTGGTCAAAATGAAGGGGGCCAAGCAAGGCTCCAAGGCTCGCAAGGCAAGGCTCCAAGCTGGCTTTGCGCCAAAAGGCTCCAAGGCTCCAGAAAGTGGGACCCTGCTTGCCTTTGGCTCCCGGTCCAAATGTAGAAATGAAAAGGGGGACCCTCCTTGGCCTCTGGCTCCGGGCCAAGCCTAACTGTGGTCGAAATGTAAGGCAATGCTCCAAGGCTCCAAGGCTACCGAAATGAAAAGGGGGACCCTTCTTGGCGTTTGCGGAGCCCCAAGCCGCCTAGCTGTGGTCGAAATGTAAAGCAAGGCTCCAAGCTCCCTACCTGAAGATGGTGACCCTCCTTGACCTCTGGCTCCGGGCCAAGCCTGACTGTGGTCGAAATGTGAAGCAAGGCTCCCAAGCTCCAAGGCTCCAACCTCCTTGGCCTCTGGCTCCGGGCCAAGCCTAACTGTGGTTGAAATGCAAGGGTTCCGGGCTCCAGGGCTCCACGGCTGCCGGAATGAACAGGGAATGTTGCCTGGTTTGCGATGCAAGCTCTTCGTTGACAGGCTCCAAGGCTCCAAGGCTCTTCGGTACGAGCAGCCAGGCCCCCAGGTTCCGAGGCAATATGCCAATGCGTAGTCCATCCTTAAAGGCCTTCAGCCTAAAGCCCAAAGCACTAGGAGCGGGGCGAGAACCATCCTCGACGCCTGACAACGGCGCAGCTGGACGGCCAAGCCAAGACCAGGACCGAGTAGGGTTTAAGGTTTACGACTACTACTACTACTACTACTACTACTACTACTACTACTACTACTACTACTACTACTACTACTACTACTACTACTGACTACTAATTTATATTATTATTATTATTATTATAAATTATTATTATTAAAATTATTATTATTATTTATTATTATTATTGTTATTATTATTAGTATTATTAATATTATTATTATTATAATACTACTACTACTACTACTACTACTACTACTACTACTACTACTACTACTACTACTACTACT